AGGCTGGAGGGTGGTGGCCATGATCATAGCTCATGCTGCCAAGTAACTGAGATTACAGGACACACACCACCATGCCTGGCTAACTTTTGTAATTTTTTTTTTGTAGAGATGGGGTTTCACCTTGTCACTTAGGCTGGTCTCACATTCCAGGGCTCAAGCGATCCACTCACCTCAACCTCCCAAATTGTTGGGATCACAGGTGTGAGCAACCACACCCAGGCTTTTGTTATTTTTGAGATAAAATAAAATCTGAAGAATGAGGGGACAGTTTTGATTTTCAACATGACCATTGCATAGCTAATAATAGTATAGTCAGGATTCAGCCACCCTGTCATTTTGTTGTAAAAATTGAATATAATCTTGAGGCTGCCATGGTTCAACACAATTCAAGTAAATATAACAGGTGTGTAGATAATTCCTATAATTGAGATTTCCCCCAAATATTCCCCATAAATGACTTAAAGTAGAGCTTCTACTCTTAGGGTTGAAGTTCCATGTCTGCTCTATCCAGGTCCTTACTGTCTATGGATTCTCTTGCTGCACATCCTTGAGAGGGTGGGGCCAAGTGGCATTGGTCACCTCATCCTCGTTCATTCTCCGTACCGGTCTGCAACTGTGGCCCTGTGAAGGTACAAAGGTACAGAGCTGGGCAGGGTGTGACTTTCTGACCGTAGTCACCCCTTGCCATGATATCTGCCTACTTTCACTGATCTAGTCCTAATGACTGGAGGAATATCATGGAGGACGTTCGTGCCTTGCGCTGGACACCAGGAGAGGTCTAGCACCTGGGTTTCTTAGAAGGCTTCCCAGAAGGCTGTGCATCCTGACCCTGTGTTCCTCTCACATCCACCTGGACCCTGAGCCACTTTCCTCTGGAGCCTGATTTTCTTGTCCAGACCTTTCCTGTTTTTTTTTTTTTTTTTTTTTTTTTTAATAATCTCGGGATTGTGAGGTGATGGTGGCCATTGACAGGGTCCTACAGTGCAGAGAAGAATGTCCAGGTCTCTTCCTGTGGCTTCTCTCTTTTCTCCCCAACCCCAACTGAACCCCCAGCTCCCGTGGTGCCCCAGCGTAGGGGAGGCCACATGGTACCATTTTTACCTAAATGTTTGGGAAGACATTCTTTTGAATTTTCGAAATCTTGAAAGGTTTTGAGACATGTACTGGCAAGCAAAACATGCAGGTTCCTGCCTTTCCGTGTCATCCAAGCTTGTGGCTTTGTTTTGTTTTATTTTGCTTTTTATGTGCTATAAAGTTGTTGAAATATTTTGGTCCTTTTTGGTTATCAGATAATCTGGTAGTGTTCTGTCTGTAGTATGATCAAAGTGAATATGGCCCATAGATTACCCTGCAGGATCACAGCCTGAGCAGATTTTGAAACTTGGATTTGCAACTTTACCAAACTATTGAAAAAAATTTAATCACACACACACACACACACAGCTTCCACAAAGCAATTTACTTCCAACCGCAATGTGTTCATTCAAATGATTTGCTCAGAACTATATGACCACGCTTAGTTTCACTTCCCACCACAGTTCTCTGATAACCTCTGAAAACTCTGTTTTTGTGGTTATACTGTCATTCTTTATTCATCTTTTTAAACTATAATCAGGTCAAAATTATAAGTTTTAACTGGGAATGTGGATTGGTGGTTAAAAACAGGAAGCTTGATGTGTAAGTCTGAAAAGCAGTGAAAATATGTAAGAAACTCAGAAAAATTCAGAACCTGCCATTATTGATGATCGCTACAGAGTGTTACCACCTGGGGACTCACTGAAAACTTTCCAGTAGAGAAGGATGAGGTTACTAACCAGCCTTAAGTGAATGAATATATAAACACGGTTGATCTAAAATCTTGGATTATATTTGGATGTCCACATGGACGAAAGTTCAAGCAGTATCACAGACTGAACAGTGAAAAGTAAATATCCCTCTGCAGAAGATTGTATTTTCCAAAGAGAAAGGCAATCGTATCTCCTCTCCCAAGTGTTATTCTGCAATGGGACCTTGACATTCCAACTGTAGAAAGGAAGAATCTAATTTATTTCCCTTTGTATCTTGGTTGTTTTAGTGACTTGCTTGAGTAATAGAATGAAATGAGAGTGGGACTTCCAAAGCCAGGTCGTAAGATGCCTCACAGCTTCCACCTGGGACCCCAGGAGCCCTTGCTCCTAAGACACTTCCTCTTGAAGCCCGGTCCCCTGGCGGGAGAAACTACATGGAAAGACACAGGTGACTGCTCTGGTTGATGAGCCAGCGGAGCTTCCAGCATCAGCTGTCAGTCATATGAGTGAACCATCTTAACATCTGGCTCAGGTGAACTGACAGGTGCTGGCAGCCCTAGCTGACTGCCCGACAAAACGCAGCCATGCCACAGAACTGTTTTAAGCCACAAAAGTGTGAGTGGATTGTTATATGGCAGTAGATAACTGGAACACCCTCTCATTTCTTTTGACAAATTTATTTTGTATTCTTTCAGTGACATTTTATGCACACACATTCAATGACGTGTATGTCTTTCCCTTTGCAAATAATAACATAATAAACACACTACAGTACTCACTCTGCTTTCTTTTTTAACCAATAACACAGCTTAGAGATTATTCTGTACCTGTTTATGCAGACCTGACTTGCTCCTTGACAGTGGGAGAGTACCTTCTTTTTTAGCACCATAAGTTATTTAACCAGTCCACTATTAATGGACCTGTAGGGTTCCCATCCCTGTACTTTGTTAGTACAGACAGTGATTCATTGTCTATTCTGCTAAAGTATCCTTTTGTACAATGTCTATTGTAAATATATAGGTTACCTTCCTAGAAGATATTTGTAGCTTCTTTAATTCTGTTGTATGTGCATTTGAATTTTAGTAAATACTGCCAACCCCCCAAAAAAGAGGTTGTGTCAAGTTATACTCTCCCCACTCAGATTTACGGCTGTTTTCCCAGAGACTTGCCAAAGCAATGCATTCATAAAGCTTTAAAAATTGTTTACCCTGGATTCTTACTCAAATGACGGATTTTATTATTGTGGAGAAGAAAATGAGCTTAATTTTTGATATCTGTTTGATATCTTTGTATTGCTTGCTTGAGAAATTTCCAGCTATAATTGCATCACTCATTCTTGTAAAAATATTAAAAACTAAAATTGTATGAGTTTGGGAAAGATGACATGAGCTGTTAGGTAAAAAGGTGAGTTGAAGAGAAATAACTTTTATTTTATTTTATTTTTTTGGAGACAGAGTCTTACTGTGTTACCCAGGTTGGAGTGCAGTGGCGCCATCTTGGCTCACTGCAACCTCCACCTCCTGGGTTCAAGCAATTCTCTTGCCTCAGTCTCCCAAGTATCTGGGATCACAGGCGCCTGCCACCAAGCCTGGCTAATATTTCGGTATTTTTAGCGGAGACTGGGTTTCACCATGTTGGCCAGGTTGGTCTCGAACTCCTGACCTCGAGTGATCTACCTGCCTTGGCCTTCCAAAGTGCTGGGAATACAGGCATGAGCCACTGTACCTGGCCAGAAAAATAAAGTTTAATGAGATTCCATTTTTTCGAGATGTGTGAAGCTGCCCAAGAAAAAAATGTCTGGAAGTAGATATACAAAGTGTTAGTAAGAAGCACGGTCCTTCCTAATTATAAACCACAATGCGTCTAGCAAATGAAACATCGCCTGCAATTTCCTGGAAGGTCAGTGTCACAAATGCTTTGGAAGCATTTATTTGTCTCGATTCTGCCAAAGGAAGCTAATATAATAATTAACTATTGCAGAGGGCATCTGCTTGGATAAAATATGTCTAGGAAGGGAAGAAGGCTACAGTTATTATTCTGTGGAGGAGGAAACTCATGGGGCTGTTTGGAAGTTCTGCAGTCATGAATGACAGATTATATTATTGAAGATCAAGTTGTCCTCTCTACGTCAACTTGGGTTTGGTTGCAAAACATAGCAGGCTCCAAAACACAGCTGGTTGTTTCACCTTGGAGACCAGGAACTGTGTGGCTGCCATGGAGGGAGGGTCTGAAGCCTGTGTCACAGTGAGTCAGGTTACACCTGATGCTTTTTCGATCCTTGGCAATGATGCAGTGCATAACAAGGTTTCCTATAATGTTGTTCTCCGAGGGCTGGAATGACTCCCCAAACGCAGAAAGCAAGAGGCATGTGGGGCTGGCCAGAAAAAAACAGGATCTCAGAGCTTTGTGAGAACTGTTATTAAAGTGTAAGTCTCATCACAGCTAGGGGTTCCTAAAGTAGATAAGAATACACATGCAGTCAATCAATAGGTGTCTGTTGATTCCTAATGAGCTGATCCACTAGGAAAATCAGGATAGGCTCCTGTGCATGTGTGGATACATCAAGGGTCCCATTCACTGCTGGTGGCCCTGGAGGGAGCTCTACCATTTCTCCAAATCTGTGTTTGGTAGATTAAAAACAGGGTCTTTATGGCAGTGTCTTAAATTTCTATAGAAAAGTACCTCCTGCGGCTAAGGAGGGAGGATCGCTTGAGCCCAGGAGTTTGAGGCCAGCCTGGTCAACATAGTGAGACCCTATCTCTACAAAAATTTTTTTTAAATTAGCTGAGCATTGTGGTGCATGCCTGTAGTCCTGGCTACTGGAGAGGATGAGGTGGGAGGATCGCTTGAGCCAGGAGGTTGAGGCTGCAGTGAGCCACTGCACTCCAGCTGGGTGATAGAGTGCGACTCAGTCCAAAAAAAAAAAGAAGAAGGAAAGAAAAAGAAGAAAAGCACCTCCTGGAATAAGATGGGCTCAATAAATAATTTTTGAATGTGTGAATGAATGAATGTGAATAAGAGAGACAGCTTGTCATTGACTTACAAAACAGAGACCTCCACTTGTTGACAATACATGAGAAAACTTCAGGCTTCATTTCTCAGACCTTTCTTCTTCTAAACAAGGTCCAGCCCTCTGTGTGTTACGCTCTGTTAAGCACAGAAGCCCTAAGTTCTTCTATAACTAATTTAGACCTGTGATTCCTTGGCTCTCACAATCCTCTCCCTTCTAAGAAGCAGGGAGAGCCCACAAGAAGCAATGGAGCAGGGCAGCGGCCGCTTGGAGGACTTCCCTGTCAATGTATTTTCCGTCACTCCTTACACACCCAGCACAGCTGACATCCAGGTGTCCGATGACGACAAGGCGGGGGCCACCTTGCTCTTCTCAGGCATCTTTCTGGGACTGGTGGGGATCACATTCACTGTCATGGGCTGGATCAAATACCACGGTGTCTCCCACTTTGAATGGACCCAGCTCCTTGGGCCTATCCTGCTGTCGGTTGGGGTGACATTCATCCTGATTGCTGTGTGCAAGTTCAAAATGCTCTCCTGCCAGTTGTGCAAAGAAAGTGAGGAAAGGGTCCCGGACTCGGAACAGACACCAGGAGGACAATCATTTGTTTTCACTGGCATCAACCAACCCATCACCTTCCATGGGGCCACTGTGGTGCAGTACATCCCTCCTCCTTACGGTTCTCCAGAGCCTATGGGGATAAATACCAGCTACCTGCAGTCTGTGGTGAGCCCCTGCGGCCTCATATCCTCTGGAGGGGCAGCAGCCGCCATGCCGGGTCCTCCTCAGTACTACACCATCTACCCTCAAGATGACGCTGCATTTGTGGTTGATGAGGGCTGCCCTTCTTTCATGGTTGGTGGAAATGACAGGTATGGCGTGTCTGCTGGGGGAATGCTCTCCTTCTAGCCATCTCTGTTATGATCTGTGACTGTGTTTCGTCCATGAATAAGGTGTTGGGAGAATGTGAATCTCTGTTTAACCTGTTGCCCACAATGGCAGACTTGATTTGTGAGTGGTGTTTTGGACCATAATGTAGCTGTGTTTTCTGCTCACATTTCAGGCCCAGTCCTGATGCTGAACAGCTAGAAGAGACACAGCTGGAAGAGGAGGCCTGTGCCTGCTTCTCTCCTCCCCCTTATGAAGAAATATACTCTCTCCCTCGCTAGAGACTATTCTGATACAATAATATAATGCTCAGCTCAGGGAGCAAGCATTTCCATCATTGTTACCTGACAACCGTGGTGCTCTATGTTGTGACCTTCAGAAGTTACAGCAGCGCAGCTCGGGCAGCCTGATAGAGATCATTCAACAAATACAAAGGGAAGTGGGAGGGGCAGGGTCTCAGATTGGTAAAAATCAGGCTGGGCTAGGGAAATTCTCCTCCGGAACAGTTTCAAATTCCCACGGGTAAGGAATCTCCTGTGTAAGGTTCAGGAGCAGGAATTTCACCTTTTCATCCACCACCTTTCCCCTTCCCTGTAGGAAGGCACTGGTGGCTCAATTTTAACTCCAGCAGTCAATGGAAAAATCACGACTTCTAAGACTTTTGGAGTTTCCACAGAGGGAAGAGTCGGGTGGGAAGGAAGCAGGGAAGAGAAAGCAGGCTCAGCTGGAGATTTCCCAGTGGCAGTCCTCCGGCCCAAAGCAGACTCATGTATCCCAAACAACTTGGCTGCCATCTGGCTTCTCTGAGGACTCTGGGTACCTTAAGGCTATAAAACAAAACAAAACAAAAGCAGTAAACCAATGAAATAAAATAAAGCATGTCTTCTGTTAGAATAGTATTGGATAGTTGGCTAAATTATACAAAATAGACCATAATAGGATAAGGCTGTGAATAAATCCTTCCCTGATCACTGAGTTACAGTGATCCTTGGCTGCTGCTGCTGTCTTCTGCAAGGTTGAAGCTTGACGTGTGATGTACGTGGGTGGGCTCTTGGTCCACCCCAGGTTGAGGCCTGTGCCAGGGTGCCAGGCATGAACTCACTGCGCCCAGAGGTTGACAGAATACAGGACTTCCCTAAGCTCCCGCAGGTTGGTGGAGCTAGACAGAGCAGAGCTGTCATGTCAACACATGGGCAATTATATGATAAAAACAATTCCTATGACTAAAAGAAACATCCTCTTCATTAAAAAACTTTGGTGTCCTTAATCTCTCTGAATTTGACTGTGCAATAAGCTACTGAAACTGACTCACAGACTTCGGAAGAGACAGTTTAAAACCACTAGGTTTTAAAAGGAAATCTTTGCTTTGGGTTTTAAAGGCAATGCCACTCAAGGTAAGGGTGGCACATCCCCAAAAAAGACACACAGGATTTAGCAATCCTTTAAACAAAGTCGATATCATGTTTGTATATGGAGCAACTTTTGCTAACTTTGATCAGAAGTATCTAGCTTTCCAAGGATATGAGTGAAGTAAGCTTGGTATATTATATCTTAGGGACAAAACCTTTTCCCTCCCACTTTCATGTTTGATGATAGGTGACAGGTGAAAACGGTTCCATTTACAGAAACTAGCTTTACATTCCACAGATCCCTGAGACACTGGGCCCCTAGCCGAGGGTCACTGGGTTTGAAGAAGAAGTTTGATGACAAGGGCCTGACTGAACATCACCAGTGGCATGCTGACCAGCAGATGACACTTCGAACCCCTCATGCCACTCTTACCTTGAGTGCCTCTCTCACTGTCTGCCCCCAACCCCCTGCCATCCTCACCCACCCCACAATTTCATGTTCATGGATTTGGGCGACAGTGAACATCAAAAGTAACTCAAAAAAGAAAACGCTGCTAGGAAAGGGCATCCCCATGTGCAGCTGGGGAGGGAGGGCAACCAGTTTGTCTTGGAGAGGCCTGGAGTCAGATATGCAGGGAGGTGGCCTGGAGGGTTTGGGTGGTGGTTAGCTCCGGAAACCAATAGTTCCTCTTCCAAGACAGAGGGAAAAGTGCTGATGTAGAGGTCATTTATACTTTCAGAGAGAGGGCTTCAGGGCTAATGGCTTCCAGAGCTTGAGGTAGGAGTTCGGTCCACATCAGTCAGGGGTCAGAAAACAGAAATTTGTTCACTAGTGCAACATTTATTTATTGAGCATCTACTCTGTGTCAGGCCCAGGCCCATCCAATGGAAATATAACTGAACGATTCCACCAACAATAGACATGGCTTTGTCCTTGCAGAGCCTCTAATCTAGAAGTCTAGTGGGGAAGAAAGCTACAGATTCGTTATCTGTATTAATTATTTATTAATTATCCTCTGATGTCACTGAGCGGTCCTGTAGCCCTAAGAGAAATTTGGGCTCATCAAAGGATCATGAGGCTTCCTTGGGGAAGTGAAGTCAGGGTCATTGCCTTGCAAAATCCCAGGGAGCACTGTTCACAGAGACATCTAAGTGACAGGTGTCTGTGGACCTGTGGAGACTGTGCTAAGAGCTAAAGGGGACAGTGGCTGTCTACTAGACAAAGAGGAGAGGGCAGGTGGGAGGGGCCTGGCAGAGCCCATGTGGGAGGCAGTATTAGGAGGCATTTTGCAGGCTGTGTAAACCTTTTTATTTTTCTACTGCTATGACCCTCAAACACAGCTGCCTTCCAGTAACCTAGAAATTACACCCACCAATTTTCTTGCTTTGAGACAATCACTCATGCTGTCTTTATTTCTTTATTTGGAAATTTCAGGGGCGAACCTGACGGGAAGCCCACTGAGTGGTTCCTGAACCCTGACTTCCAACCAGGTCCTTGCTGCGTCTCTGACCAGCAGGATTCATTCCCAACAGAGTTTCTGGTGTGTTGTCCAGATAGTTGCCTTTTATCATTCTTTCACTCAGTATCTCATGAGGGTGAATCATGGGAAACTATGATCTGGGGATGCTGATTTGAGTCCAGCTCCTGGCTATGCTCTTCTCCCTTAGATTATCAGAGGAGGCTCTGGGTGGATACCTGAAGGTTTGGTTTCCGGGCCAGAACCCATGGGGCCTGGTCAACCTTGTCAGACTTGTCAAACATTTTAGGCTTTGTTTGAAGAGCAGTTGGGAAGCCATGAAAGTGTTTTTCTGAAGAGGGAGCTGCAATCAGATTTTGCACATTGACTGCTTAGGGCAAGACCCAGAGGGCACATACCAGTATGATAGTCACTTTGCTGGTAACATTCAGAGCACAGTGACCAGAATATCAGGAGCCATTCTTCCCCTCCCTTCCATCCTCAGCCTGCAAATGGGCCATGTGGTGGGCATGCTCTGGGGATCTACGCAGAATTAAAAATAAAGCTGAAAGTTCTTGTTGATTATAGGAAAAGAGTTTCTTAAGAGCTTGTTATCTCCCAGGAGCAATTTGGGCTGGGTCTTTTGACTGGACAACTGAAAACAGCTGATGGTTTTAATGGAGCAGGAAAGGGATCATCCAGGTTTGAGAAATGAGGCCCAGACACCAAGGGAAAGAAGCTTTCGCAATGCTCTTCAGACATCTCTTTCCCCTTTTTGGGCCACTGGAGGGCCAATTTCTTGTGCAAGGAGGCTCTGGTTTCCCTGACCTCTGGGAAGTGCCTTCTAGAGGTGGAGGGCTTCCCAGATATCCCAGTCACATTCCCTTCTGCACTGCAGGCCAGCACAGGTGTAAGTTTCAAATTCACCACATGGCTCTCTGCTACAAAACCAGCCCTTTGACTGCTCCCCTTACTTTTTTTTTTCTTTTTTAGGTACAGCATAAAAATAAAGCCTCCTTTTTTTCTGGAGAGATGGCTTGGGTCTCTGTTTTCAGCTTCAGACCACTGGGGCTCCCCTGGGCCTTGATGACTGTTAGGTCAATGGAGTAGATTTCACCAAGCTGAAAAGTGCTGGGTGGCCGGTCTCCCAAACAGAAACTCCTCATAGTAACCAACAGGTAGACACCTCCTTACTTACCGGGAGGAGAGAGGCTCCTGCACACATCACAGAGGCTGCTGTGGTCTAGGTATCAGTAGCGTCCCCACCTGTCATCACCTGCTCTGTCTGAAGTGACTACAGCTCACATCACTCAGCATTCACTAAAGGGTCTCACTCAGAGCCCTTTACACAACCAATGCTTGGTTTCTGTTGAATAATAAATGTGATATGAGTATATGAAAAAATGTCCAAATACATAATAAATAACCATTCTAGCTTGTTAGCTGTTTTTGTTTTTTACATTGTAAAAAATTCCAAACAAATATAAGAGTACAGGAAGACCTCATTTTATTGTGCTTTGCAGATTTTTTTTTTTTTTTTTTTTTTTTTTTTTTTTTTTTTTTTTTTTACAAATGGAAGGTTTGTGGCAATCCCATGTGGAGCAAGTCTCTCAGTGCCATTTCTCCAACAGCATGAGCTTACTTTGTGTGTCTTCATCACATTTTGGTAATTCTTGCAACATTTCAGACTTTTTCATTGTTATATCAGTCATGGTGATCTGCAATCCATGATCTTTAATGTTACTGTTGTAAATATTTCAGGGCACCATGAACCTTGCTCATAGAAGATGGGAGCTTACTTGATAAATGTTGTATGTGCTCTGACTGTTCCACGCCTGGCCATTCTCCCAACTCTCTCCCTCTCCTTGGGCTTTCCTATTCTTTGAGACACACAGTATTGAAATTAGGCCACCTAACAACCCCACAATGGCCTCTAAGTGTTCAAGCATAAGGAAGAGTTGCATGTTTCTTACTCAAAATCAGAAGTTCACGTGAAACTAAGCTTAGTGAGAAAGGTGTGTTGAAAACCCAGACAGGCTGAAAGCTAGATTTCTTGTACCAAATAGCCAAGTTGTGAATGCAAAAGAAATGAAAAGTGCTACTTCAGTGAATACACGAATAACAAGAAATTGAAAATCCTTATTACTGATGTGGAGAAAGTCTGAGCAGTCTGGACAGAAACCAACTGCAACATTCTCCTAAGCCAAAGCCTAGTCCAGAGCAAGGCCCTACCTCTCTTCAATTCTATGAAGGCTAAGAGAAGTGAGGAAGCTGCAGAAGAAAAGTTGGAAGCCAGCAGAGGTTGCTTCATAAGGTTTAAGGAAAGAAGCCATCTCCATAGCATAAGAGTGCAAGGCGAAGCAGCAAGTGCTGATGTAGAAGATGCCGCACGGTACCCAGAAGATCTGGCTAAGATCATTGATGAAGGTGGCTGCACTAAACAACAGACTTTCACTGTAGATAAAACAGCTTTCTATTGGAAGACCATCTAGTTCTTTCACAGCTGGAGAGGAGAAGTCAGTGCCTGATTTCAGATCTTCAAAGAACAGGCTGACTTTCTTGTTAGGGGCTAAAGCAGCTGGTGACTTGAAGTTGAAGCCAATACTCATTGACCATTCCAAAAATCCCAAGGCCCTTAAGAATAATGCTAAATCTACTCTGCCTGTGCTCTAGAAATGAAACAACAAAGCCTGAGTGAGAGCACATTTGTTGACAGCATGGTTTCCTGAATATCCTGAGTTCACTGTTGACACCTGCTGCTCAGAAGGATCCCATTAAAGATATTACTGCTCATTGACCCAAGAGTTCTGATAGAGATGTACAAGCAGATTAACGTTGTTTTCATGGTCACTAAGATAACATTCATTCTGTAGCCCATGGATCAAGGAATGCTTTCTATTTTTAAGTCTTATTACTTAGGAAATGGATTTTGTAAGGCTATAGCTGCCATAAATAGTGATTGCTCTGATGGATTGGGGAAAAGTAAATTGAAAACCTTCTGGAAAGGATTCATCATTCT